GGACATATATTATATACATACAGTATATATATATATATATGCATGCGTACATGCATGCATAAATACATACATATATACATATACGTACATACATTCATACATACATATATACATACATATATACAAAATACATACATGCATATATATATATATATATATATATATATGTGTGTGTGTGTGTGTGTGTGTGTGTGTGTTTGTATGTATATGCTCCCAAATCATACCATCGTATCTGTCGCTTTGTAATGTGACCCTGCCCTCCCACACCACGGCGTCGTCCACACTGTCCAGGACCACATCAATACCATTGACTGCCATTGAGCGGCTGGTCATGCCATAGCGTGTCTTGCCTTTGCGTAGATCGAATGTCAATGAGCCCAGTTTGGTGTTCGTCGCGTACTCGTGGTAGTTCCGCATGTCCAACTGAAAGGTTTTCAGGGTCAAGGAGTTGGGTTTTGAGTAAATTTAGCTACAGGGTTTTGCGTTCTAGGGATTGGTTTGACGCTGTTGGGGGTGCAAGGTGAGCTACGGGTCTGAAACAAGGACGAGGATCATGTGTGTGACAGTGGTTCGTGCTTCGAGGTTGTGTAGAAATGAGATTGGGTATGCTCTAGGGTTTAGAGTTTAGAGTTTACTGCGGACAACTATCCACTAAACTTCCCATACCTAACCCCCATATGGTTTTATGATATAAGTATGTACAGAGATCATGAACACAAATATATAGATGCTTGTCTATGCGTATACAAATATATGTTTGTATGTGTATATGAGTTAGCGTGTGTGTGTGTGTGTGTGTATGTGCACACAGGTGGCAAAACGGTGGTTGATAAACTGGTATACAATGGAAACAAAATCAAGCATACGATACAAAGACCTACAATGCTTAAGCGAAGTCCAATACAGTCATGGATGCAGAAAGATATGTAGGATCTGAAGAACAGCCAGTAGTCCTATATATGTATCTAAACATGTACAGTTCTTAGTATGTGTATATAAGTACGTATATACATGTATGTAGCTCATATATGTATATATGAACATACAAAATAATAAAAATCAATACTATATATACTTATAGATGACTATTAATATTTGTATCTATGTATATATCTATAAACTTCGGTGGAATCCATACGGGTCATGTACACACGTACAAGGCTAACATAGCCGATTGTGTGAAAATGCGCACAGAGTGTGGACTTGTTCTAAATGAAAAAATGAGATCTTCTTATGGTGTCTAACTACGCATGTGAAGTATGCTGGCACATGATTATGGTACATTTCCACGTGATAAACACAATGAACATTTAAGTTCGGTAGTGTAGGACAAACCAACAAAACATAGA